AAATCTCCAAGCTCGAGGTGCGTCCGTGGAACGTCGCGGCCGAGAAGGACGCGACCGAGCTCTCGACCCACAAGTTCAAGTACCTCTTTTACATTGACGTGATCGGCCACGCCGAGGACGCGCGTCTCCAGTCGGTCCTCACGGCGCTCAGCAGTGTGTGCAACCTCGTTCGCGTCTTTGGCACGTACCCGGCGAACGCGATGCTGCCGGAAGCGATCCAGCGCGCGCTCAACAAGCGCCATTTCCTCAACCAAGCGGTCGATGCAGTGCTATCGTCGACGCACCACAACGACGAGGAGCTCGTGGCCTATTACAAGGAGAACGCGACGGCGGCCGAGGCAGCCCTCGACCAGTTCGAGCACGACTTTATCGAGGTATGTATCGACGAGATCCAATAGCTTCTGCATACATGGACACGGAGGCTCATCTCCTGTATTCTAGTTGCGGGCGACGTTGCGGGCAAGCATGCGCGCGCAGTCGCCGGTCCGCCTCAACCCACTCCTCGGGAAGCTCTCGCAGTCCAAGACGGTGCAGATCCACGGCCTCACCAAGCAGCTCGAGGCCGAGGGCAAGACCGTCTACTCGCTCTGCGTCGGCGAACCCGACTTTAACCCGCACATGCAAGTCATTGACGCGGCGCGCCAGGGCCTCGCCGACGGCTACGTCAAGTACACGGAGGTCCAGGGCATGCTCAAGCTCCGCAAGGCGATTGCTGGCTACCTCGAAACGGCCAAGGGCGTCACGTACGACCCGGCATCCGAGATCATCGTCTCGAACGGCGCCAAGCAGTCGGTCTTTCAAGCACTCCTCGTCACGTGCGAGCCTGGTGACCACGTGCTCATTCCAGCGCCGTACTGGGTCTCGTACCCGGATATGGCCAAGATTGCGGGCGCAGTGCCCGTCTTTCTGCAGACTGACGTCGCCAACTCGTACTTGATCGACCCGGTCGCGCTCCGGGCGACGCTCGCCGCGGACCCGCGCATCAAGGTCATGATTCTCTGCAACCCGTCCAATCCCGCAGGCGTCGTGCACGGCCCCGAGCTCCTGCGCGAGATCGCCGCCGTCCTCGAAGATTTCCCCCACGTGCTCATCATCGCCGACGAGATCTACGAGCAGCTCGTGTACCAGGACGAAGGCGCTGCGCCGCGCACGCACCTCTGCTTTGCGACGCTCCTGCGGTCGCGCACGCTTCTCATCAACGGATTCTCCAAGAGCCACGCGATGACGGGTCTCCGCATCGGCTACATGGCCGCGCCGGCCACGTTCACCAAGCCCGCGACCAAGCTCCAGGGCCAGCTCACGTCCTGCGCGAGCTCGATCGGGCAGATTGCGGCCATTGCGGCGCTCGAGATGGAGGCCGCGGCCGAGACGCCGCTCATCGAGGCGACGCTGGCCAACATGGACGAGAAGCGCAAGTACGTGTGCAGCCGCCTCGACGCGATCCCGCACATCCAGTACGCGTACCCGACCGGCGCGTTCTACGTCTTTATCGAACTCCCCCACTACATTGGCACCAACCACGTCGGCACGAACGGCGCGACGATCACGAACAGCGAGGTCTTTTGCTCGTACCTCCTCTCGGAATTCGGCTGCGCGATCGTGCCAGGCTCGGCCTTTGGCATTGAAAACTCGGTGCGCATGTCGTACGCCACGTCGCTCGAGGTCCTCGGCCACTCGATGGACGCGCTTGAGAACTGCCTCCTCTCGCTCGTGCCTCAGTAGATGGAAAACGAAAAAATGATGTCTATATATCTATCCTAAACTCACTTTCTTGTCGGTTGATACATTTATGAGGCGACGCTCGAGGCAGTGTAGCTACTCGCTGGAGTCGACGCACCCAAGGAGTCTAAAGCGTCGCCAACCAGATTGCTTAGAAGCAAGTCGTGCAGGTGAAAAGACAAATGGAGCGGATGTGAAGCGAGTGAAGAACTACTGCTCCATATTTTCAATTAGGACATGAAGTGCCATTTCGTGCACGTTACTACTGTTGATAGAAACACCACTCAAGTACGACACGTAGCTTGCTCAGCAACTCAATTGATCGGATTAGAAAGCGTAAAAGAGCGATTCGACAAAGCCGTCCCCGTCACGCTCGAGGATCTCCATCGAGATGCGCGTCGCTCGCGCATGGGCTTTGATAGCCGCCTCGTCATCTTCGTCGACGCTGAGCTTGAGCGTCACATTCGTGCGACCCTTGAGCGCGTTGAGGAGAACGAAAGTATCTTCAGTGCCAGGGATGTCGCAGTCAAAGCGAGAGGCTCGCAGGTCGAGAGCGAATGGCCGTGCATCGTTCGAGCGCGCGCGGAGCGACTGCGCAAGGCAGGGGATGCTCGCGGTCACAAAGGCGCAGGATCGAAGCGACAAAGCCGAGAGCGTCTGCGTCCACTTGACGATGGCTTGTCGGACGAGATCCAAAGTGCGAGTCGGATATTCGCACTCCATGTCGAGCCATCGCAGGTCGTCCAGTTGCGGCAGCTGCGTCGTCCAGTCGACGAGTGCTTCGAAGCTGGCGTCGGCCACCTCCACGTCATTGATCTCGAGCATGCGTAGGCTCGGCAAGCAAAAGTCCGAGAGGGTGGCTCGTGACACCGTGAGCGTTATGTTCCGGAGTGCCAGCTCCAGTCACCAAGGGCGTAAGCCACGAGGCGTGTGAGCTTGGAGAGATCCAAAAGCAATATGAGGATGCCGGCCCAGTCGATGTCGTTGTTTGACGTATAGATTTCGACGTCCGTGAAGTGCCAGAGAGGACGTTGTGCCGCCGCAAGTGCATGGATGAGGATATCGGAGTCGATCAACGCCACGCTTGTGACGGAGGTGGTCGTCGCCAGCATCTCGGCCATGGCACCAGCACTTGTTTCCGAGTCGAAGTCATACACAACGAGGCGTTTGGCACGCCCCGTCTTGAGCCACCGTGACAGGGC